GTCTTTTTACTAGGTAAAGTTGTTGAAAACCTTAAATAAAATGCAGTGCTCCAGAGATTAGATGGCTGAATCTAAAGGCACGAACCAACACCTGCATTTTTATGATAAAATATATCATTTTAACAACATCTAATCCCAATAAATTATTTCAAAGCTTTTAGCTGTAACAGGACACAAACTTAATTCAGACTTAAAGTTTAAAATGTAAATTTTCCTTTTTTCAAATGTGCTAAATGTCTCTTTAAAAGAAAAAAAGACTGATAAAGCAAATCTTAACGGTAATTTTCCACTTCAAGGGAATTAAAAACACCGGCAGTCTCAGCAAGTCCTTCTTATCTGAGCTGCTTCATGAACATGAGTAAACTGCAAAAACAATCCTAAAAATAAGCCAGCATTTCTTTAATTAAGTGTATTTACTTAAATTCAAGCAGGTAAATAAGATGATCTGCCAATGGAAGGAGTTTTTTACTCTTAAAATAAGCTAAACTACATAATATGCACTTGAAATAAGACAATGCAATTGTTTTTTCTTATTTTAAATGTAAATTGTTACTTACCTCCTAAATTCAAGAACAAAGGCACTTATTTTAATAAAAAATAACATACTTTTTTTCCAGCGTAAACTGAAATCCATAAATCATCATTAGCTCTTACCTCCTGTCTCTACCAGTCGGAGGTCATTGCTGTTGCCTTCATAGGTGAACAGAGCCCTTGAAGCACAAAAACAAGCAATGGGCGAAAACTATACACAATAATTCTATCCTACACTTTTGTTTTCAACAAAATAGCTCACCAGTCTGTGTCCGACTTAGCATCCACCACCTTCTTATAGGCGGCCGTCAGAGCAGGACCGTTTTTACTCAGGTTAACTGCCATCGTGTTCCAGGTCTTCAAACTCCAAACAAGCTGATGCTTTCAGAAGATTGAGAGAAATAGTTTGGGAAATAAGAAACTCTGGTTTCAGAAAAGATTCTGATCTCCTGTCACGTGTCCAACCAGTCAGGTTGGTTGATTTAAACCTGATGAGCCACATTCTTTAACAAGTTCCTCCCCTCTGACTTCAACACCTCCACTCATGTAACAAACATTAACACATCTATTTTACCCTGGTCCCTTGTAGATAATTTTGGGAACTTTTATTCCATGTCAAATGTAACATAGCCTGAATATAGGATTGGCATGGCTGAGGGGAAATGAAAAGGAGTGTGAATGGCTGTGATTGTTTACATAAGGAACAGACGTCCCACAGGCAGGTATGGACGCAGGGATTCAGCTAATGTCTTACATAAGACATAGTGACATGAATGGCACTTATGGAATGATGGTGTTTCCTACGTTTGAAAACCAATTAGATTTTAAAAGAAAAAGATTTGACTCTTTGTCAATCTGCTCTACTTAGCAGCAGTCAGGCGTTGACCTAAAATCGGGGGGGATTTACTCTTAGGCAATACTATGCAGCTGCCTAGGGCCCCAAGTTCCTGGGGTTCCCCATACAACTTTGTTTATATGTATGGTTAATACAACGATTCCTTATTTGTGCACATTAGTTATGTTTTTGATAAAAATATATCAAAGGTTTCTTCTTGTTAAAAGGGAGTTTTTCCTCTCCACTGCCGCTACATGCATGCTCGGTGGGTCAGATTGCGGAAGACTCAGATAGTAAACAGTCAATCATTCTGACTGTAAGATCTGGTTGAATTTTCTCTGTTAAGCGTCTGTCATCATCTCAGCACTGATGCCTGGTCTAATTAATAATTTTACACACCTGCTTAGCTCTTCTCATTTCTTGTTACAGCTTATCTGTAAAGGGGAGTGGCAGACCTA